CCCATCCCATCATCACGAGGTGGCTCCCTTCCGGAGTAGGCCTTCACATACTCCCGCGGTAAGGTGTACTTCCCGATAAGCATATATCTAAGGCCTTTTCCCAGAGCTCCCTTCGAGGACACATCTAGACCGGGTTTGATGGGTCCTGCTATATCTGTAGTCAGCGTGAACATGTCTGGGTGCTTCACTCTGGCGTGTCTTCGTCCCGTCCCTCTGGACATAACACACGTCAAACAGTCTCGATGATATTTGGCATGGCCCGAAGCTACGTGCTCCTTCCACTGAGCAGCTGTTAACGCAGCCATCCGCGGTATTTCTCTTGGTTAACCGTCGTCTCCAGAACTGCAAAGCCATCACTACAGCATCCACAAGCCCACTTGACCAGGTACCATCCACAGGACGTGGGCGAGCTTCGCCTTCTGAGCTTTCCTCCCGCATGGCATCCAGGCCCATAAGGTAGTAGATGTTTGTCCCTAAGGTTGTGGTACTTGTAGTTGTAGCTCCCATAACACCCTGATCAAAGGTCACTAAGCCCATGCCCATCTCTTCTGCGAAAGCTCTCCATGTAGTGGTTGTCCATAGCGATGTTGTTGAAGGATGATTGCCGACCCAATTCTCCTCCGCGGGGTGCTCCACCATGAAAGCCACCGGCCTTTTGCGATTGGGGGGCAGCGCTGAACTCGTAGTCCTTGCCGCCTCGGCGACCGCGTAGAGCCACAGCATTCGCGCAACCAGAGTCAAATTCCTCACGTCCTTCTTGGTTGCCTTCTGGTCCAGGCACGGAAGTCCATTTCGACCCGGGGGACCCCCAACCACAGCTTCAATCCTTCCCGTCAAGGCTCCCCACATTAACATCCGCCATGTGGAATCTCTTTGTATATCGTGGGCCTTGTTCCGCTCCAGGTCCAACTCAATCACCACCGTGTCGCCCTCGTCCAATTGGAACATCTTGTAGTGTCCAACCGCTCCCGCGTAGAGATGAACGATCCATCTTTTCGCCGTCCACAAACGCCGCTTTTGAGGTCGGCTAAGGAAGTCGACCTTCTTCATCACGTCCCATCCTCGCTCACAAATGCTCTCCTGCACCATTCCATTTAGACATTCACCAGGTAGTCCTTGTAGGAAAGGTGCATCACGTAGAGCTCTTAGGCCGGCTTCATGTGACCCTACATCCACATAATCCCTCACATAGTCCCACCAACTCTTATCCATTGTCAGCGCTGCCAGGTTCACTGCATCCAAAGTCGTCACAGTCTCATTCTCCAGCCTCTCGCGCTTCTTGTCCTCTAGCTTCGCTATCAGTGCCAAAGCTGCCGCCTCACATAGCTGGGGACAACCGGTCGACACATTCAATGAAGTCCTTGTGCCCTCTGCGTTTTCTAAGTAGCACTCTCCTGGACCCCATATCAGCGTGTACCCCAAGGTGCGGACCAGCTCTCCCATTGGTACGATGGTTTGGCCTGCCGTGGCTTCTGCAGTAGTAGAGGTAGTAGTTGATGAGGATCTCGGGGGCATAAGCAAGGAACCTGATTCGGATAGCTTCATCACCAACTTGTTGTTCCCCGCAAGGTGAACGAGTAC